TTTTGACTATAAATAGCATAGTATAAAAAAATAGCATAGTATAAAAAAATAGCATAACATGTCAAAGAAATGAAACCAAACACCTAGTAATCACTGTTTACTTTGCTTACAAGATGGAATATCATATATCTAGCGAGTTATTTTGGCAAAAACGACCAAATTCAAGGTTATTTTGTCTAGAAGTGGGTTACCCAGTGTGAAAACCCCAACTGAAAGGCTCTTTGGGGAACCAAAAAATGCTTCTTATCGCATCACTACGAAAACAAAACCCATTTTTGTAACCCTTATTAGAAGTAGAAGAGAGTTTTCCACAAGAACTTTGACTTGAAACAGACTTGAATCTCTGTCAACTCTAACATTTTAGTCTGAGACCAGGTTGTACACCTGGAGGAGATATAAAAGTACAAAGGAAGAAGAAGAGGAAAAAGAATAAAGTGCTCTGATCGGCCCAGTTCCTGAAAGAACAGGTTTCTTTAAAAGACGCGACTCAAAGGAGAAGTGTTATCATCTCCAGAGAGAGAGAGAGAGAGAGAGCAACTCCACTCGAAAGCAAGTTCATTTACAGACATTTCATAGTGCCATCACAAATATTAATCATTGTGTTATAAAAACAGATCATTGCGTCCTATTTCTTTTGCTATCCACACAATCTTTTTTGGGTCACGACCCACCGGTTGAGAAGCCCTGATCTAGCCAGAGGTGTTTTAGCTGGACTCTAGTGAGGTGTGTGTGTCGTGGGTAGACCTTTATCCCAGCGCTGACCTCACGTCTCTCGAAGGTGACTCTCCTTCTCGCTCAAAAATCTCCTATCATTTATTCATTCCTCATCTCCAAACCCAAGGATGGCAGGCGTCCTATCCCGTCTCTCTCTCTCTCTCTCTCTCTCTCTCTCTCTCTCTCTCTCTCAGGCACTTTGCTAGCAGTCCCAATGGTCGTTTAATTTTTGAGCGGATATTTTTAGCTGAAGATAATCGAGGTGGAAACTTCCATCTGTCCTCTGCATATTCCAGCTGCTCCGCTTTTCAGCGGGAAAAAGGAAATCAAGGGAAAAAGCATCATCATTTTGACCCCTCACTTTTGTTCAAACACAAAAGAATAAGGGGAAAATTCACAAAATTAGTATTTTTTACTATGGCCATATTTGTTGCTTTTACTTAGTGCCAAAAAAGTGACTAAAGAAAGAAACTTTCTTTATGTTTAAGTTGATAAGATCACTGCATATTTAAATAGTTCATAATCAAGAGATGCTCTAACAATTGTTGTTATTGTTAAAAAAAAAAAAAAAAACTTTTTTGTTATTAGAAAAAGCTGAAATAAAATCAAATAAAATTTTAGAATAAACTTCGTTAACTGAAAAAAAAATTTTAGTTGAAGTACTATAATTACCAAAACTAAAACTGAAATGAAATAAATTAAACCTAAATAGAATAAAAATGACAAAAGCACCAAACAAAATTATTAAAACTTCAAATGAAAACTGAAAATATAAAAATAAAAGCTAATCAAATAAATTAATAAATATTGTAATAGTATATTATAGTTCCCACGATGTCTGACCAATGAACTTTTCTAGTAACTATTTTGATTAAGTTTCTTAAAAATAACTTTATAGAAACTGCTCTCAGAAAGAGCCAATGAAAAACCACAGTTAACTCTATATTATTCGCCATAGAAATTTCCAACAGATTTTATGACTGGAAATCACAATATATTAAATAAAATATATTTATATTACAATGAAAAAGAAAAAATATACATTGTGGAGAAAAATCTAACCAACTTTTGACCTGACCAACTTTCTTCCTCATCCTTGAGAAAACGATCTGCAGTTTATATAAAAAATAAAACAATCGATTTTTATGTAAATTCAGTTTGGTTTGGTTTCTAAGTGAAGCTGCATTCGGCGCAGGGTCAAAAAGTGCAGCACGGCTTCGGATGAACTTTAATAGGCAGAATTGATCTGTTCGCTGGTGTGGCTCCTGAACCCCGAGGCGATAAGCAGAGAAACCTCTCTCTCTCTCTCTCTTTCTTTCTCTCTCTCCTTCAAAACACTGAACCAAATCATTCATTTCAGCTCAGACCTCTGATGACGACTTGGTCAGTTGGCAGTACATAACTCTGTCTCAATCGATCTATCTACTTTTCTTTGTAAAGTTCGGTGTAGCATGGTCATTTTTTCCTCTCATGCCCTCAAGGTACCTTCATGTGGCCATTTCCTAACGGCAGAAATGCAAAATTAATGACCGAAGATCCGGCGAAGATCATGTGCAAGGACGTGTCTCTAAACTGACAGTGACAGCGGCGCAGGAAACACAGCGAACTCAGGAGGACCGAATACAAGAACAACCCAGTTTCCGACAACAGCATCCATAACGCCACGGCCTCTGCGGGATAAAAACACAGGGTTTAACCTGAACCCGACCCGTCACACAGGCTCTCGTGACACTTTACAAGTGAACCCCACTCAGTCAGCCGCTCCTGAACAGAACTAAACACCTGG